TACCAAGGCATTTGAGAACTAAGGTACCGCTGTATACATTTTATTAAAATAAGAATTATTTAATTTATTACCTGCCCTTCACCCTGAGGTCCCAGGATGGGTTACAACATTACAACACAACATTACAACACAATATTTTAAACAGTTCAAAACAACTTGTAGTATCATGGCACCCATACCCTCCAACATTTCTCCAATGAAAATAGGGCCATCCCTTTCCACAATGATAATTTTACTATTTATACCCCCCCACACACACACACACATCTTACTGGGTTGCCCCAGCCACTCTGGGCAGCTTCCAACATATATAAAAAACATAATAAAACAGTAAACATTTTTTTTAAACTTCCCTATAGAGGATTGCCTTCAGACGGCTCGGGGGTCAGATAGCTCTGTACCCTTCAACATTTCTCCAGTGAAAATAGGGACATCCTAAGGAAAAGTGGGACATTCTGGGATAACACCAGAAACTGGGACGGCTTCTCTAAATCAAGGACGTCCCTGGCAGTGGCAGAGCAAGCTGATGGGGCGCCTGGGGCGGCACGTGTGCCCTGCGCCAAGGGGCAGGGACAGCCGCCCGTGGGGCGGGGTGAGCTGGGGCAGGACACCCCATGGGGCCTCCAAGGAGTCTGCCTGCAACCTTCCACTCAGCCGCCCTACAGCTGAGGGGGAGGTGGCGGTTGGACAGTTTGGGGCAGCACAGAGCCTGCGGGCGCCCAAGCCACCGCGTCACTCCCAGGAGTGCTGGTCCCGAGGGTTAACCATGAGGCAAGGTCCGAGTCCAGTCCGAGGTCGAGGGTGTGGTATGGAGGCTGTCCGTCAAAGCTGAAGCTGGGTCCAAGGCAGGGAGTCAGGTGAGATCAGGAACTCTGACAGAAGAGCAGGACAGGGTGCAGGCAGGAACAGGCTAGCAACAACATTGCTCCCGCAACCTGGGACTGGGGCTGGCTTTTATCTGCCCCGAGGCATAGGGCAGCCCCAGTCCACAGGTGACTCGCCTCTCCTGGCCTGGAGGCGAGCACTCCTCCTGCGGGAACTTAGTTCCCTCTGCCTCTCTGCCCTGAGCCTCTGCAGCTCAGGAGAGGCTGGAGGGTTACCGGACCCAGAGGCAACCTCAGCTTCCCCTGACGGGGCTGAGAGTGGAGCACCTGCAGGCAATGGGTCCTCAATCACCTCCGGAGCCAGAGCAGACTCAGCTGATGCCTGCACCTGAGGAGCCAGCACAGGTGAGGACCCTTCAGGCTCAGGCCCCAGCCCGGGCTCAGCTGGTTCTGGAGGTGGGACTCCTGTGCAGGCTGGGATTTCTCAGGTTCAGCCTCCGAGTCCAAATCCCAGGCCACCACACCCCGGGGTGAGTGCAACCAGGCCTTTTGTCACCCCCCTCAGTGGTGACACTCGGGGCGACCCGCCTCCACTGACCCCCCTTCCTCCGCCCCGGTCCCTGGAAAATAGGGACACTTGGAGGGTCTGCGGTACACAAAGGAAAAGACTAAGGGATGGGGGCCTTGCATTCTGCTACTATTTGTGTAGGAATGATTCAAGTGCAAATCATAGCTTTAGGTTTGCGCTATTTTTCCCCCAAATTTTTTTTATTAGTTTTCCAAATTTATAACAAACAAATCCACAAACATAAAAAGAAAACATTAAAAAACAAACAAACAAGAAACATACTGTAATAATTCCATTTTTGTTAACATTGTTAGGTGACATCCTCGAGTCCCCCTGGCTGAGTTTCCATATAAATCATTGTAGCAGTTTCCAAAACTATTTTCACATACAATTTACTTGGTCGATTAACATCTTTCTTTCTTTTCATTTTAACTTTTGACATAGTATCCTACAACAGCACATATGTAAATCCTAGGCCAATCTGATACTCGCAAGTAATTCTGTTTCAGTTATCTTAACATATTTACCTAAATAGTCTTTGAATTTCTTCCATTCTTCCTGGTACTCCTCCTCCTTCTGGTCGCGGACTCTTCCGGTCAGGTCGGCTAGCTCCCAAAAGTCCATCATCTTCATCTGCCGTTCCTCCACTGTTGGTACTTCTTGTAATTTCCAATTTTTGGCCAACAAAATTCTAGCTTAGGTTTGCACTATTAATGTAGAATAAAGCGCTTGGATGCCCCAGTACAACAAATCCTGTTGGGACTGTTTCCCCATGATCTCAGCTTCTCTTAGATCAGAGAGAGATCATTCCCACAATTATTCCTGGTCTGGTCTGTTCTCGTATGAACAAGAAAGAGTTCTGGGTCACAATAAGAATTAAGAAGTCTGGGAAGGATTACAAAATGAAGCCAAAAGTTCGGCAAATGCAAGAAAAAGCAGTGGATATATCACATTCCGTGCATTGTTTCTGGGACTCCTGTGAGTTGTTCTGTTGCTTCTTAACAATATGCATAAGACTAGCTCCGATACATCCGCCATTCACAAGGGCTAAAGGGAGAACACATTTCTATAAATGACCATATACACCTGCCATCTTGGTCTGAGGCTGAACGCTTGTTGCATGCGGATACATATATATCTGGATTGGGGCTCTTATTATTATTATTATTATAATATTCTTATTCTTATTCTTCTTCATTTTATGCTGCAATCTCTGTTAATGCCCTTAGGTTAACATGCAAGGGAAAAGCACTTCAGCAGTTTTGCTTCCCATTTGGAGTTCTTTTCACACATCATAAGAAAGCATACAGAGATTGGAAAAGAGTTTATTTAGAAGAAAACAAGGAGTTGAGCAAGGAGCAGGGGAAGGTCTGCTGACCCAGAGCTGGACCCTGTGATTATTTTCTTCTTGTGCCCCCTTCGATGGGAAGTCCAGAGAATGGCAGCACAAGAACAGGCCTTTTTGGTGGTGGCCCCCTGCCCCCGCTTGTGGAATGCTCTGCCCACGAAGGCTCACCTAGCAAAACCTTTATCTGTTTTTTAGGCTCCAGGCAAAAAGTTCCTTTTTACCTGGCCTTTTGGTTCTGAAGGTTTTTAAGTACTATTAGTGGGGTGAGTTCTGTAAGCCTGGGTTTTATTTGTATGGGGTGTTTGTTTGTTTGTTTGTTGTAATTGGTTTTATTGTTAATACTGTGTCGCCGTTGTGTAAGTCACTTTGAGTCTTTTTAGTTGGCAAAGCAATTAAATTATTATTATTATTATTATTATTATTATTATTATTATTATTATTCACTAAATGGAAATACGGTGGTTCTTTGTATTTGCACATTTCTGTATTGGCCTCTGGAAGATGAAGGTGTCTGTGTTTCTTTGTAAAAGCATACTCTCCCACCTTTCTCAGATGAAAATAGGTACATCCTATTATTATTATTATTATTATTATTATTATTATTATTATTATACCCCACCCATCTGACGGGGTTGCCCCAGCCACTCTGGGCGGCTTTCAACATATATAAAAACATAATAAAACGTTAATCTTCCCTATACAGGGCTGCCTTCAACTGCCTTCTAAAGGTTGTATAGTTAACTGATCTCCTTGGCTTGGGGGGGGGGTCACATAATTCAATACCTCCCAACATTTCTCTGATGAAAATAGGGACATCCTGAGATCAAATCAGAAACTAGGATGTGTCTGTAAATCCAGGACTGCCCCTGGAAAATAGGGACACTTGAAGGGTCTGTAAAAGAAATCAACTTAGCCCATCCCCAACTTGATTCCTGTGTTCAGTGATGGAGGGCATATCCACACACAGTCCAGAGTAGCCCTGACATCACAAAGAAAGATGATGATTTATTATTATTATTATTATTATTATTATTATTATTATTACCTATACCCCGCCCATCTGGCCAGGCCTCTCCAGCCACTCTGGATGGCTTCAAACAGAATATTAAAAAATAACAACAATAAAACATCAAAAACTTCCCTAAACAGGGCTGCCTTCAGATGTCTTGTAAAAGTCAGATAGTTGTTTATTTCCTTGACATCTGATGGGAGGGCGTTCCACAGGGCGAGCGCCACTACCGAGAAGGCCCTCTGCCTGGTTCCCTGTAACCTCGCTTCTTGCAAGGAGGGAACCGCCAGAAAACCCTCGGAGCTGGAACTCAGTGCCCGGGCAGAACGATGGGGGTGGAGACGCTCCTTCAGGTATACTGGGCCGAGGCCATTTAGGGCTTTAAAGCTCAGCAAAAACACTTTGAACTGTGCTCGGAAATGTACTGGGATAGAAATCAGTGCCCAAATTGTGCAGCTAGACTTGTCTAAGTGTTGTCCCTAGCAGGGGAAAAACATGCTTTTGGGCGTAGCTTTAGGCAGCAAACCATCTTCGGCAAGCACCACACAGTCAGCACCTTCCTTCCTTCCTTCCAGGTCGTTCCCCAAAAATCTGTATCAGCAACACTTGTTTGCTAAAGCTAGATGAACTTCCTGGTTATTAGGACTCGCCATTATGTTCCAGACCACTAAATTATTGGCTCTTAATGCTGTGACTCAGAGAGTGGCTCTGCCAAATGACTCGGTGATCTTCTCTTCTAGCTAAGCCAGCCTAGCTTGTAATTTGAGGAGTCCAAAAGGGATAATAACAGCGCTGCTTGTTGTGTGGCTTAACACCGACTGCACAAAACAATTCACCGCATTGGCTTCCGCTAAAAACACAGGGAATGGCGACTTATTGATACCTGGGCAGTGCCCATACACAGGAACTCCTCTTAACTGATACTTTTCTTCATCTATGTTTACTATGCGTTGGTGATGGTGATTGTTAAAAAGCAGTTTGAGCGTGTGCTCTGCCTTATCCAGAAGTAGGTCATCTGAAGTGATTTTTGATGAGTATAAAATTACAAGACTGGCTTCATAATAATACTCTTTGCTTGATTTAGCGAACCATTGGCATAGTAACTGCTTGGTTTGATGTTAAAATAAGAAACCCTGCCAGGCTGGACTTCATCTTAAGTCTACAAGGCACAAACTTTCTTTTTCTTGGTCCTCAGTTCTTGGCTGTTGAGAAGTTTACTGTCTCTGAGGTTCTGTTACCTGTTATTATTACCTGTTATGACCTATCAAGTTGCCCAGAAAGAATTGAGAGTCCTTGAACTGAAAAAGGTTCCCCAAATCTGGCATAGAAATAAGTGCCGGAAGCATACAAATGTTTCTATTTTCCCTCATGAAATACTGACGGGTAAGTTAAACAACACTTTCTGCATTTCCCAGAAACAAGTGAAGACATTTCTGGATGAATATAGGTCTCTGCCATGGGTGTCTACCTTGTACAGTGGTACCTCGGGTTACATACGCTTCAGGTTACAGACTCCGCTAACCCAGAAATAGTGCTTCAGGCTAAGAACTTTGCTTCAGGATGAGAACAGAAATCGTGCAGCAGCAGCGGGAGGCCCCATTAGCTAAAGTGGTACCTCAGGTTAAGAACTGTTTCAGGTTAAGAACGGACCTCCAGAAGGAATTAAGTTCTTAACCCGAGATACCACTATATATAAAACCCTTGGTCCATCCCACAAATTGGCAACATCAAAATTTCCAAGGTAACTCAAACAGCCCAATTACTGCTATGGCCATCTATACGATCCTGCCCATCAACAGAGGGGTGGCCTGTCAGACCCCACGGCAACACATGCACTCCATGAAGGAGAACATGGTTGCAAATGTCCTTTGGAAGCCGAACGTCTGACATGGCTTCCAACTGAGTGCAGGAAGCTCCTGCAGCCAGTCGGAAGCCGCCCCTTGCTCCCCCCTTCTAGAACCCACCACTCTCAACGAACTCTCAACTGCCTCCCCCACAACATTCAAACTCGCTTTCAAAGCCTGAAAGGACCCTGCTGTACTTCTGTACTCCTACAACAGTGTCCACTATGACTGAGTTCCCCAAAGGTGAGAGCCTTGAAGCTACAATCCCCAGAATCATTTTGGGGACATCATGTGCTTTAAATGCTCATTAGATGCACTTTCTATATATGTTGTTGTTGTTGTTTAGTCGTGTCTGACTGTTTCTTCCTTAGGAGAGAGGCAGGCCAGAACAAAGGGGGAAAGGCTCCCACCTCAGGTAAGTGGAAATGCCAATTGAACGCCCTCTATTATAGGAATGCTTCCTTCCCATGTCCCCCACCCTCATGTGCCAGACTGCTGCTAGCATGGCTGGGAGCCAGGCATTTGCTGATTCCTTCATTTTCTTTGCAGGGAGGGAGCCTTTCCCCAATGTGTACTTTGTTCTGGCGAAATCCCTGGAGAGACATGGCGACCATCAGGTACTTGGGCAGAGGGAACGAAGGGATCCTTTTTGAAACATGTTTTGGGAGTCCTAGAAACACTCTCCCCACCTGTAGCTTCCAGGAAGTGCTTTTCAGAAGCATTACTCCCTCCAACTGGGTTTCTTTGCATAACCCTCTCCACCATGCAATTGTCTCACCCTCTTTGAAAGCCACCTCATCCGAGATGCTCTTGTGGGGCATCTGATTGTCCTTGGCTTCCACTACAGGATTGCCAGGTGAAATATCGAGAGTGGATTTCATGCTCTTTTTTTGTTGTTTAGTCATTTAGTTGTGTCCGACTCTTTGTGACTCCATGGACCAGAGAACGCCAGGCTCTCCTGTCTTCCACTGCCTCCCACAGTTTGGTCAAACTCATGTTGGTTGCTTCGAGAACACTGTCCAACCATCTCGTCCTCTGTCGTTCCCTTCTCCTTGTGCCCTCCATCTTTCCTAACATCAGGGTCTTTTCCAGGGAGTCTTCTTTTCTCATGAGGTAGCCAAAGTATTGGAGTCTCAGCTTCAGGATCTGTCCTTCCAGTGAGCACTCAGGGCTGATTTCCTTCAGAATAGATAGGTTTGATCTTCTTGCAGTCCATGGGACTCTCAAGAGTCTCCTTCAGCACCATAATTCAAAAGCATCAATTCTTCAGCGATCAGCCTTCTTTATGGTCCAGCTCTCACTTCCATACATCACTACTGGGAAAACCATAGCTTTAACTATACGGACCTTTGTTGGCAAGGTGATGTCTCTGCTTTTTAAGATGCTGTCTAGGTTTGTCATTGCTTTTATCCCAAGAAACAGGAATTGAAGTTCCCCCAAAATGTCTGCTTTATATACATTATTTACACAATGGGCCCCACGTGATTGGCTAATTCTGGGAATCTCCTGTAGGCCAATCGGGTTGCGGATTCACTTCCACCTGGAGCTGGATTTGGTGGCTCCTGTGGACCAATCAGACTGCTGAATTCTGAATCCTATTGTTTTAGGACCAATCAGACTGCTGCATTTTGGATCCTATTCAACTCAGTACATAACACCAGGATTCTCCATGACGGTCAAAGTGGAGAGAGAAGCCTTTCGATATTTGGTGTGGCTAAGACAGCTGAATGTGCACCCATTCTCATATGATGTCCTTCTTCCTCCACAGGGCCACACCTCCAGGGATGAGGCTCCAGCTCCGGCCCCCGGGATGAAGAACCGGACAACATCCTGGCGGTTCCCGGCTGATGTCCCTCACAACGCTTCCCCACTGCCCCTTCTCCATACGGGCGTGGCTCCTTCCCGGCCCGGTTTGGCGCAGAAGCAGCAGCCAAAGTTTCCTCCTATTAAAACAGCTTCTCGGGTTATTTCTGAGAGGGAGGAGACTTTGGCTGCTGTTTCTGTGCTAGGCCGGTTGGGACGGAGCCGAGACGCCCATACAGAGGAGAAGTGGGGAGCACTTATAAGATCAGGTAGGAGGAAATGCCCCTTCCCAGGTCCCCCACCCTCCTGCCCCAGACTGGGGCTAGCGTGGCTGGGAGCCAGGCGTCTGCTGATGTCTCCGTTTCCTTTGCAGTGAGGGAAAAGTTCAGACGGGGAACCACCGCATTCCAGGAGGGACTGGAGCCCAGACGAAGGCCTCTCGCCTCTGAGGTAATGGGACAGGGGGAGGAGGGGGCCTTAGGAAACAAACCAGAAGGGCCTGCAGGATCAGGCCAAGGGCTCACCTGGTCCAGCCTCCTCTTCTCCCAGGGGCCACCCAGGTGCCACTGTGAAATCAGCAAACAAGATTTGAGCCCAAGAAGCAGTGCATAGCGTTGAGTTCTCCCATGCTTCAAAGATCCCTTCTTTCTTGCAGGATCTCCTGTCTGCACCGCTGTGGCTGCTGCCCAAGCCTCCCCCCAAAAGACCAGATAAGAGGAAGGGAACCTTTGCACGGCGCAGGGAGAACACCCTGCAAGTTGAGCGTACATGTTCATGCTCTGGGTGCATTTCTGAAAAAAGGCATGCACTGATAAGACGGGTTTGGGGTCTGGGGGCCTTCCTACAGGGGTTGCTTGACTACAACTCCCATTGTCCTTGACCACTGTCCTTTCCCCCCTTCTTTTTATAAAAAAAACACAGCTTGAGGATTCCCCAGTGATGCCGGCTGGCGGAAGGAAGAGGCATTGGGTGATGGTGCAAAGATGAATTCCAGAGCGTTTAGATCTCAGCTGAAGGACTGTATTCCGGTTTCTGATTTTTCAGCTGCTGAAGCATTTGAAAGCTGTGATGTGATAAATAGAGGCTTTACAAATGTGTAGGGTGAACTTTCCCCTGTTCATCCTTTGGTTTTGATTGTTATGTACTGAAGTTCTCACCCTGGGCCAGCAGCGGGATACTGTAGATAGTTTTCACTCAGGTCCACATATGCAAATAGGGGATTGAAAGTGATGTTCAGTGATTGGATAGTTACAGAAAATGGTTACAGTTGCGTTGTAGTGGAGCTCTATATAAGCAGGCTGGCTGAACCCTTCAGTTCAGTTCTGTTCTGGCCTGTGAATAAACAAGAGCTGTTTGGAGAATCGCTGTGTCGTCTGATATGTTCACCCACAACTTAACACGGATAATTTTGTTGTTGTTAAATAAGATGAATTTTTCTACTCTGAGAAATATTCATGCTCCGCTGAAGCTGCAAATGGAATTCCAAGCAGTGAAGCAGGTCCAGCGTCTTCCTTTACTTCCTAGTTCTAACTTGCCCCTGGATATCTGGAAAGGCAACTGTGACTGCCTTGGTTTTGAGGATATTCTGAATGACCCAGCACAGAGTGAAGGAATGGGAGATCCTCATCTTTTGGTTGAACACAAACTTGGTTTATTATAATGCTCACATACTCCATCCTTCTGTTCATGAAAATGTTTCTTACCTGTGTCCCTGTGGGTTCAAGTAAATCATATAAACAGTAGTTGTACAGCACTTGTTTTGATACACACAATCTCTCACCTACCTTGATGCAAACAAGGCACATTAAATGCTTAAATATATTACTTTTGTTCTGTGTTTACTGTCAGTACAAATGTTTTGTAACTGGGTATTTTTTAAAAAAATCGGGAAATATCTCTATTCAGGGCTATTAATGTTTCATGTCTGCAACTGTAGACATTAAAAAGTCTATAGAAAGGGGACATTTTAGATTGAATGTTCTTGTTCTTTGCCATATATAACCCAGGTATTTGCCGTTTAATCTTTCTTTCCTTGTGCTTGATGACTTGACATGTCATCTTTTAAAAACAATGAGTAAAATTTTACATAAATTCAACAAACAAAACAAACAAACAAAAAACCTGAGCTCCCCACCGGGGCAACCCAAGCTCTGAAGAGTTCAGGCTGTCTCAATTTGGAAAATGAGCCGTGGCAGTAGAGGGAGAGATCAGCTCATCAGCACACAGCCTCTAAGACTGTCCTCAGAGTGAGAAAACTTCCCAAATTAAATCCAAATAAAGAGAGAGAAATCAAAGAATTAGTGGGGCAACTTTTGAAAAGTGTCTGGGAGTGAAATAAGGGAGTCCACTCTAGAGCTGGTCAGAACCGCATGGGGAAAATCGGACTGGAAAGAACCGGGTACAACTAAACCTTTAGTCTTAGAGCATCTGGGCATAGAAGGGATCAAAGAATTGTAGAGCTGGAAGGGACCACAAGGATCATCTAGTCCAACCCCTGCAATGCACAAGCCCCACGTTGGGCAAAAGATTCCTGCAATGCAGGGGTTGGACTAGATGACCCCCGGTGTCCCTTCCAACTCTACAATTCTTTGATTCTAATACAAATGCTGTGAATGGCATGTATCTGAGGGGCTGCGATGACCCACTAAGTTGCAACCTGCAGGGATAAATGCCTCACCCTGAAGAGAGACTGCTTCCCATCACTCATTTAGAACTCTAAGGGTTTGACAACCAGGAGCAGGAAGAAAAGGGATGCGGGTGGCGCTGTGGTCTAAACCACAGAGCCTAGGACTTGCCGATCAGAAGGTCGGCGGTTCGAATACCCGCGACGGGGTGAGCTCCCGTTGCTCGGTCCCTGCTCCTGCCAACCTAGCAGTTCGAAAGCACGTCCAAGTGCAAGTAGATAAATAGGTATGGTATCTGGCGGGACGGTAAACGGCGTTTCCGTGCACTGCTCTGGTTCGCCAGAAGCGGCTTAGTCAAGCTGGCCACGTGACCCGGGAGCTGTACGCCGGCTCCCTCGGCCAGTAAAGCGATATGAGCGCCGCAACCCCAGAGTCGGCCGCGACTGGACCTTTGTTGGCAAGCTGATATCTATGCTTTTTAAGATGCTGTCTAGGTTTGTCATCGCTTTTCTCCCGAGAAGCAGGCGTCTTTTAATTTTGTGGCTGCTGTCACCATCTGCAGTGATCATGGAGCCTAAGAAAGTAAAATCTCTCACTGCCTCCATTTCTTCCCCTTCTATTTGCCAGGAGGTGATGGGACCAGTGGCCGTGATCTTTGTTTTTTTGATGTTGAGCTTCAGACCATATTTTGCGCTCTCCTCTTTCACCCTCATTAAAAGGTCCTTTAATTCCTCCTCACTTTCTGCCATCTGCAAAAATGCAATGCTTTGGTAAGTAATTTAAAGCTCTTTCTTAGATAAAGGCAGGGGGAATGCTTACAAAGCCTATACATATTTAAAATTAAAAAATTCCCCGTCAGCTTTGCAAGGGCTAAAGCGAAATCCTGTAGAAGAAAGGAAAGGAAAAACAGAGCTTGGCAACATTTTGCTTGTGGTTAAGTGTAAGTCTTAAAATGCCTGCCAAGAAAACAGGAAAGAGGGACCAGGAAGCTGAACTTTACCCTACTTTGCAGCTGAGATGTACTAGAAATCTGAAGCGCTTTTGTGCCTCTCAGAACATGTATTTGTTTGGAAGGGTGTGGGGGGGGAATCAAATCTATATACTTATGCAAATAGCTACATGTGAAGGTGATGAGAGTATTGCTTGGGAGGCATGTATTGACCAGCTCTTCTGAAGGAGCAGGGAGATTACGGTGGGGGTTTTGCCTAATGCCCCTCCATAACCCTTGTTTACTAGGAAGTCGAGCTGACATGTGAGAACATGCTTGAGCTGGTGACAACGTTCTTCAGAGTTTAAGGTTTCTCTGACTCTTTCTGGGGTAGATTACGCCAAAGTTTCGTCACACCGTCATTCACGGTGGCCAATTAGCACCGCGATAAATAAATGAGAGATAAATATTTGCACAAAATCTCTCCAACACTAAGTGTGTGTGTGTGTAGATGCACAGGTAGAAATAATTGCTGCAATTTTAACAGACGTATGGTACATTTCCATATCCGTCAACTATCCTGGGAAAACTGGGGCATCCCGTTTTCTCGTCTGAGGGCACGACAGCCATTTGGGGCACCACGATTTCACACTGTGACCTTCTTCTTTTTCCCCCCAACGGATATGAGAGATTTATTCGGATGCTTGTTCAAAAGAATTTGAAAAAGTTAATTTTTGAAAAAGTTATTAAAAGAAATAAAATGAGTGCTCCCTCTCTCTCTCTCTCTCTCTCTCTCTCTCTCTCTCTCTCGCTCTCTCCCTCTCTAAATTTCTTCCCACGCTCTCTGTTTTCTCCAGTCAAGTCTCTGCTACTCAGGATCATTGGATATAGGTGTCTAATCTTTTTTTTCTTTTTATTTTTAAATAACTTTTTTATTCAAAATTTAAAAAAAATATTATCCAGAAACATATCATCCTTATTTTTCACCCAATTTCCCCCCCCCACAGAATGCACCACCCCCACCCCCGACTTCCCTCAGTTCCAGTCTTCGATTTCTCTAAAAATGCTATGTTCTGCATGTTACACAGTTGTATAGATCCTCAAACTATTTAGCTGATTATTATCAATAAAAAGTTTGTGAATGTTTATTCAAATCGATTTCACACTGTGACCTTGAACCTGAAGAAAAAAAATGCCCGGAAGATGCGCTGCCCGGTTTTGGGTCTGGACATGTTGGAGGGTACGCATCTCACCATAGTGGAGAAGACTGTGAGAAGGTGGAGTGTGCCATGTGTGTGCCCTGTCTGCTGCTCATGGTGCCAACTGTGGACTGCAAGCTTCAAGGTCCCTCCTGATCTCCTTTATAAGGGTTCCTTGTGATTAAACTGCACTTGGACCGGACAACCCTTCAGTTAGGGGGGATACTTTCAAATAGATGTAGGACACATGGCCACCCTGCTTTTTAACAGCAGGTTCTTAAATTGCAAAATAGAAGCTTGCGCAGTGGCACTCCTTCCTGTATCCCTGGGATAACATTAAAAACAACGACGTCAGTTTGGGGTTATTAAAGTGGTATCCGTGAAATGCTTTAAGCTTCTGCTTTACTTCTGGCACAAAATTTGACAGTTCAGCAGCAAGAGCATAGATAAGAAGGGCAAACCGGGTCCATAATATTATACAAGAGTAAATCACGATAGTCTCAGGCTACTCCCTCGAGCTCTTCGGGCTTTTGCTGACTGGAAATCTGCCAAGTCATGAACTGCTGAGTCACTTTTTAAATTGTGCAAGAGTTTGGCAGAAAGAGAGAGAGAGCAAGAGCGCATCCTAATCTAATTATTAATAGGCAGGGTGTAAAAAGTTGTTGAGAAGTATAATTCAGATGCTTCAGATTAGTCTTTGTCAACCTGGTGCCCCCCCCCCCCCCAGTTTACAAGGCAGATGGAAGTTGCAGGACAAAACAGCTTGAGGACAGCTGGTTAGTAAAGGCTGTGAAGTTCAACACTTTTAATTTTTATTTATAATTAATCAATTACCGTATTTTTCGCTCCATAAGACGCACTTTTTTCCTCTTAAAATCTAAGGGGAAATGTCTGTGCATCTTATGGAGCAAATGTGTGGTCCATGGGGCTGGGGGGGGATCCGGGCTTCCCCTGCCAGCCCCGACCTGCTCTTTGAGGCTGGCAGTGGGGGAAAGCAGCGCTTCCCCCCACCGCCAGCCCCACAAGCTTGGGGAGCAGCGGGAAGGCAGCGCGCAGCTTTTCCGCTGCTCCCCGACCTGCTCTTTGGGGCTGGCGGCGGGCTCCCCCCTGCCAGCCCCAAAGAGCAGGTTGAAAGGTAGCTTTAACTATACGGACCTTTGTTGGCAAGGTGATGTTTCTGTTTTTTAACCCCTCTGTAATAGTGGCCAAAATACCATAGAAAGAGGCTACTGGAGCTTTTAGGGGATAGATGGTGATTGTGAGAATGGAACAGCTTATCTTCTTGACATATCAAACATGGCTTCCAGACCTTCCATCTTCAGGAATTCCTTCCTACATCTATTTGTATGCTAAGGAACTTTTGTTCGTTGTAGAACACAGTCAGTTCACGTAGAGAGCTGGACGTCCTTATTTGTAAGGTCCCACTGTGGCCCTGGAGAAAGAGAGAAAAGACTGTACGCTTTCCCTAGAGTTTCCAACATGGTACCCATGGGACCACATCACCCGCCACAACCCCCTTGGTGCTTGCCAAGGCCTCCCTGCCCCTACCAAATTTTTAAACATTATTTTTAAATGGTTGTTTGGTTGGGAGAAGATTGCCTGTTTTCCCCTGCTTTTTTTGTCTCTGTTTAGCTGACAAGGCACATTGTATTTTGCCTGGTATTTTGTGGGGTAATGGATAGGTTCTGAGCACTGACATTTTTTCTTTCTGTGAAATGGGTATTTTGTGGCACCTGTGACAGTTACTTAGACTGTCAAATGTGCTCCCCGGTCCAGAAAATTTGGGGATCCCCCCGTTCTCCCCTCTCCCACACTTGTGCCTAGCAAGAAAACCCACCTAGCACAGTGGTGATAAACCAATGCATCTTTCAGGTAAGATCTGCTGCCATTAGTGATCTTTTCCTTGGGAAACACAGAGCTTCCAAGGGACTCCCTAGGATGCACTTTGGAAACTGCTGTTCTAAGGCATCCCTAAGTGTAAAAAAGGACCTGGGTGGCACTGTGGGTTAAACCACAGAGCCTAGGACTTGCCGATCAGAAGGTCAGCGGTTCGAATCCCCGTGACGGAGTGAGCTCCCGTTGCTCGGTCCCAGCTCCTGCCAACCTAGCAGTTCAAAAGCACATCAAAGTGCAAGTAGATAAGTAGGTACCGCTTAGGCAGGAAGGTAAACGGCGTTTCCGTGTGCTGCTCTGGTTCGCCAGAAGCGGCTTAGTCATGCTGGCCACATGACCCGGAAGCTGTACGCCGGCTCCCTCGGCCAATAAAGCGAGATGAGCACCGCAACCCCAGAGTCGGTCACGACTGGACCTAATGGTCAGGGGTCCCTTTACCTTTTTAAGTTTAAAAAAGAAAGAAATGTGAAGAATTCCAACAGCGTACTTGTCTTGTGCTGTTTAGTCTTGTCAGAGCTGTATCCAAACCATGACATTTGTCCCTTGATGTAGCTTTTAGACCTTTGCAGGTGATGGGAGTTCAGGGCTTTTTACGCTGCAAACAATAACTGAGCGGGTTCTGTCAGGATAACAGCTGAGCAAACATTGCAGACATTTTGGCTTCAGCCCCACTGCTTCTTCTCAGCTGGGTGGAGTAGGTGGCAAAAAAAAATTCCCCAGTCTCTTTCCATGTACTTGACTATGGTCAACATGCTTCATTCCCAGAAATGAACTGTCAGTAGTTAAGGGAGGGTTTCCTTTTCAAAGTAAAGGCCAGCTCTTTTTAATGTATTTCTAAAAAAACATCATAGAGTTGCGACCAAGTCTTTGAGTACATCGGAATGCTTCTCCCAACTGGATGTTAAGCGAACAAACCAACTCCAAATGAAAGATGTGTGTGTGTTTGTGTGTGTGTGTGTGTGTTTGCAAGGTGTAAACAATCTGCCGTTGAAATTATATAAGTCGGCAGTCAAGCAGATCCGCCTATGGCATTTATAGGGACCCCCACAGTATTCCAATTAGTGTGAAAGACAGTTTTGAATAACTGCCTTGAAACAAAATTTTCTAAAGGGAGCATAGTCATTGCATCTTGGACTCTTTCCCCTTTGATGCAACCAAATCGTCTTTGCGACCAGCACAATATAATACAATTAAGGCTGCCTGCAACGCAGCACACATTTACCTGAGAGTAAGTCTCATTGATCCTAATGGGATTTACGTCAGACTGTCCAACAACAGAACAGGTCATCTATTCCATTTCAAGACTATTAAGAGACTACAGGCTTGAGTCTTTTCCCATTATGCCCTGAAACAGCTCCCTCCACTACCACCCGCCTTGTCAATTTTTGCATTTCCCTTAACATCCATCCTCAAAAAGGGTTTTAGTGAACGTCAACATTCAGCAGGGCAGCACCACAGCTACAGACTCCTGGCAGTGGAATCAGAGGCTTCCCAAGAGAGTGAGAGGTCTCAGCTATGCATACTGAAACACCTTCTCCATCTTGTTTCTTAAATAATTTTGGATTAATTCTATTGGAGGTTCTATTGCACAACAGTGTGCCACTGGGTCAGATGCAAAGGTTCCCTTCCTCTGACAAAGGATGTATGTTTTAGGAGGATGTTGCAGATCGAAACGATCACAGCAAAGGACCTTTAACTTCTTTCCATGTGTCAACGTGCCTCCGAGATACGGATATCCATTTTATTGGGTGTATTTGGAGTCGGACTGTTCTATGCACTTTGTTGTGTACTTTTCCTCTTGCAAAATCCAATAAGGGAAAAGTTTAACTAGGAAGAAATATTGACTTATGCTAGGACAGGATAAAGCCCTACCTTACAGCATGCACTTTGTCCCACACTGTGCTGGTTTTTCAGTAAACACATTAAATGTCCTCAGTCCTATTCACGTGCCGCAAGGTCTGTGTAACATCTAGTAAAAACGGACTGAGGACTGGAATTCTAAGTCTAAAGTGACGTTAGCTCTTCTTTTTTTAAGGTAGAGGACAGGGAAGCAAAACTTTACAGAACTTTTCATAGAGGGCCTAGGTGACAGATTTCTGGGTACATACTTGATGGTCACCCAGCACTGGGCAAAAAGTATTCAGCCCAGGGTTTTCCACTGTTTTCAGGGAGAGGGAAAGATCTGTTTATTAGTAGGGGGAGTGCTAGAGAGGGAGAGATGTCTGAAAACCCAGAAACCTTGTCCCATCATGGCTCCCCAAACAAGGATTCTCAGACACCTGCTTCTGCTTGAACTCCTTGAATATGCATTTGACATATTCCAAAGAACACAAATGGCCCTATGCAAGGATGCTTCCATGCAGCTCCACACTGCGCATATATATATATATATATATATATATTCTTTTATCTTTCCCTGTCTTCCTTTAACAAATGAAGACGCATTGGGAAATGGGGAGGAACTGCCATCCCCAACTGCTGATTAAAAAAACAACAACCTGTGAAGGTTACTGAATACATCACCACTTCTGTCAGAGTATATGCATGCTCCACACCCATGGAGTTTTCCTCCCCAATTAGCACATTTTTCACAAAAAGGGCTGTGGCTCAATGGTTAGACCAGCCTTTCTCCACCTGGGGTCCCCAGATGTTGTTGGACTACTACTGCCATCATCCCCCAGGTCCTGCTAGCTAAGGATGATGAGAGTTGTAGCTCAACAACATCTGGGGACCATGGTTGTGAAAGGCTGGGGGAGAACATCTGCGTAGCATTCAGATCCCAGGGTTGGGAGAGAATCAAATCTGAAATCCTGGAGAGCTGGTTCCACTCATTTCGGACTGAGCTACATGGACCAGTGGTTTGACTCTGTATAGGGCAGCCTCCTGTGATCCTAAAGGGAAATAAATGCAGAAGAGTGATTCAGTTTTAGCCCAGAACATTCAACTCTGACTGGCTGTGATTCTCCATCATATGCAGAAATCTTTCCCATCACCTGCCCCCAGATCCATTTTACTGAAAATGCTAGCTGAACCCATGCCCTCCTGCAAGCAAGGGAAGAATATGCTCTACTACTGAGCTATAGCTCCATCCCTAAAAAAAGAATGTAATCTTTGTTTTTTCATAAAAAGTTGGATAAGAAAACGTCCATGAAATGTACAGCTGAAGTACTATCAACCAAAAAAAAAGAGTGACTCATAGTTTCAGGTGGCTAAAAAGAAAATTCTGTAGAAGGAAAATCCTGCGGTTGCAAGAACTGATTTCCTCAAATCGTTTTGTGACCTTGCCATCAATCACGTCAGAAATAGTTGTGTCTGCATTCCATTCAAAACAAAGTCTAGTGTCAGTTTCAAAGTTCTAGGGGTCAGGCCAGATTAGAATGAAGCTTTGATGTACAGTCCTTTTAAATTCAGGGTCAGACTATTTCTATACAACTTGACTCATGTGTGTTTGTGTGGAAAGTATACCCCCAAAAATGACAAAAAAAACCAAAAGTGTGAAAAACGGTTTGTATTTTATGCAAACAAATATTTTACAAATATTTAACAGAGATTTAAAATCACACTGCTATCTCTTAGAAAAACTCCCAGGAATACAGTAAAGAGAATTCAACTCTACTGGAAAGCAAAGTGCTCAGGGCAACATTAATACAATTTCCACAAAAGTGCATAAAACGGTTAATGTAAAAAGCATTTCCTGTACACTGTAAAAAGGACTCGGAAAGCATGTTAGCGCATATGGCATTGTCAGTCGCTACCGATCATCAAAGCAGTTTTTACAAGATCATACAGTAAGAAGCCTTTTTACAAAAACAGATTTTTTTTTAATAAAAAAGTACACTTTCCCAGTAAAAGATACTTTGAGATAATATATATATAATCTCGAGTGCATAAGAATATCAACTCTATAAAACATTTAAAGTTGTCCATTATGTGCCACAATCCAACAAGTCTGTGAGCTGAAGTGGGCATCTGAAGGTAGATAACCCTACTGAGTGCAATTCATGCTGGCTGAAAGGTGAGGAACGCAAAGCTACATCCAGCGCACCATGTGCTGGCCATGTGATGCATGGCAGCCTCGACACCACCTGGCATGGAGAAAGCAGCTGCATGGCGCAACCTGCTTGGGTACATGAGAATCTGATCAAGGACGCGTTCCTTACATTTCAGTCAGCATGGACTATTCATCATTGCTAGCATGTTACGTTCAATAGGTCTGATTTCTCAAAAAGTATTAGGCATAGGCATGACTTAAAAGCACACATACACACAAATCAGAACGCTGCCTATTTGAGCCCCATGGGAATGAGTTTCTTCTGTAAATTCCCATTTATTTCAGAAGGCCTTTCCCACAGGGAGGTTTCCAGGTGAATAATTTCTTAGCTACAAACTTAATAGATTTTTTTTTGTTTTCCTGACATTAGTGGGCTAAACAAAAATAAGTGGTTGATATTTTCAGCTTAAGGATCTGTACGCATTTTGAACTTTTTTTTTTAAAAGGGCCAGTGTAATGCTTTCACACTTTTTTATATCAAACACACAAAGCCAGCTCATGTATCTTCCCCTTAACACTATGGAATCAAGTTTCGTAAATAGGATGTAAGGCCCTAGGCTTTGCAATGCTATATTCGTACCTGCTACTCTCGGTTCCTAAGAAGTGCTGCAAATATATTCTACAATATCATTCACTATTCCTTATTCCAGAGAGCATACTTAAAACAATAAAGGCATTTCTTCCAAGAAGAACAACCATCACAGAAAGACAGATTTTGGTGGCAAACCCATTGAAATTAATGAGCACGGCTAAGTTAGATCCATTAATTTTAATAGGTCTACTCTTGAGTAAAGCACATAACTCTTGCTCATTTGTGTAACGTTTTGGTCATGTTTCTTGGCAATTTCGTTAAAGACAAAATGTACATCTATGTTACATTGGGGGATCACTGGTCATATTACAGAGGATGCAATAGTTATTTAAAACTGGTTTTAATTTCTTTGTTCCAAATCCGCATGAATTTTTTTTTGGAGGGGGGGAGGCGGAATCAGAACAAAATTCATTCTCATTCAATTTGTCTTTTGATTTATGGTATTTATCTTTTATTTATTTTTATTTTTAACTATCATTCTTACAAAAAAAAAACACTACTCAGGAGATCTCCCCTTAAATAAATAAGCTATGCCACTTCTAACTGGGGAAAAGCCACACGTGATCATGTGCCCAAAGGCAAAACAGTTTGAGAAGCGTTGAGGTGGAGCGTTGAGCACCACTTTTAAGAGGTACCAGCTACCCCTGACCCATAATAAAGCATATATATATATATGTACATGGACAGGAAAAACAAGCGCTGGCAGCAATAAGTGAAACTCTCTCTAGACACTTGACGCATCACAAGCTGGTGGGTCGTCAGACACCGATTTTGGCACAGGGGTACAGCAGAGAAAGACATTCCTCCCCAGGGTTTTATGGGCAAACCGGAAGTACATGAGATGGCCCATTGCAACGAAAGAAACAGAAATAAGCACCAGCAATCCGAAAGCTTCTGGGTTAGGAGCTAGGATGACCATGATAAAATGCAGGAGATCCAGAAGGTAATTCATGGAGTTTTGGACGCCATTTATGATACCTCTTTCTGATTCGATCACGTTTTCTTGCAGCAACTGCGTGACGGTCAGGTCAAAAGACCACAGTCCTGTTAAGACAAATACAAAGGGAATTTGTTCAGTTCCTGCTTGGGGGGCAAAAAAGGAAAGCCACACAAGATATCTCATGTATCTCCAAAAGTTAAAAGACCTTGTTTTCTACAGCCGATTTGCAAACGTAGAGACAATTTCCATGCCTTAATGAAATGAACCAAGGTACAGTGGTACCTCGGGTTAAGTACTTAATTCGTTCCGGAGGTCCGTTCTTAACCTGAAACTGTTCTTAACCTGAAGCACCACTTTAGCTAATGGGGCCTCCTGCCGCCGCCATGCAATTTCTGTTCTCATCCTGAAGCAAAGTTCTTAACCCGAGGTAATATTTCTGGGTTAGCAGAGTCTGTAACCTGAAGCATATGTAACCTGAAGCGTATGTAACCTGATGTACCACTCATGCCTATTTTTTGCCTCTAAGCGAATTTTTCTTCTTCTGCATATAAGTAAAAATGCCTAACCTATTCACCTCTTGGAAAAATAAAGAGATTGCTTGTTAACTGAGAACACAAACCTGTGTTTGTGTTTATCTGGAAATCAGTACTAAAGCATCAGATGGGGCTTACCTTCTAGAAGGCGCATTTAGGATTGCAACTTAGATAATTAAGAAAGGATGTGAACTATCAAAACCTAAAATATATGCAATGTCATCACTCTTTAACTATTCTCTCAACAACCTTTCTAGACTCCAGTACTAATGCACAGTTCTGCTTTGTTGTGGGACTATTCAGGGTGAATGTCAGCATAGTATATTTGCTTGGAAACTAGTTTCTGCCTTGCATGTTATGCAAAGATCATATATATGCAAGGAGCGTGAACCTACAATTTCTGCACAAGCAATTCTACATCATATTTAGGCTACAATCCTTTCTCTTAAAATCTGATTTAAGCAAGAGGATCTTCCAACTACTGGAGAGGTCTAAATTGCTATTTAAAGCATCAGAAACAATCATCTAAATGTCTAAAAGGAAGCTGGAGGCAGCTTGGTTTTTCCTGCTTCAAAGGGCAGAACCCAAACCAATGGATTCAAGTTACAGGAAAGCAGATTCTGACTCAACATCAGGAAGAACTTTCTGATGTAAGAGCTGTTTGACAGGGGAACAGACTCCCTCAGGAGCTGGACTCTCCTTCCTTGGAGGTGTTTAAGCAGAGGTTGGATGTCTATCTGTCATGGATGATTTAGTTGAGATTCCTGCATCTCAAGGGGTTGGGACTAGACGACCCTCGGGTACCCTCCCCGCCCTAGAATTTTATGATTCTATGAGTTAACTTACCAATTCTCGCAGCAATGACTCCTGCAAACAGAAGGCTTACGGAGACAATAGGCACAGGGTTGGGAGCCAAACCCGGATCAGAAGTTGACTCATTGAACAAGGAAGGCATTCCAGTTGTAAAGGGCATTTCCAGGAGCTCGCCTTGAGGCGCCATAGTAGGCAACGGGTTACTTTCAAACAATCTAGCACTGATGTCAGCAAACGGGGAAACAGTCAGATCCAAAGGACTTCCAGGCATGAACACCGAAATCACACACAAGACGAGGGAAGCCAACTGGGCCACTCCAGAGATGATACCCGTACGAACCAGGCCACACCTGCGACGCAGCCAGGTGAAGGCGACAGTACCCAGGATTCCAGTTATGGCAGAACCCCCCATTAAGAGGCTTAGAGTGGAACCACTCAGTCCCTGAGTATATGCATAGCCAGTAGTAATGCAGTCAAAGCCTAGGACAGTCATGTAAAGGAACGCAAGGGCCATTCCTGCAAGGAACACCGGCTGGTTGTAGTAGGCCACCCATCCGTCCCGGAATGTACTGAAAGGCTCAGCCATCCGAGAAAGACAGCTAACTTCTTCCTCCAGTTTGGGCTCAAAGACAGCCATGTCTTTCTCGCCAATTAACTGGACTCCTTCGTTGGGCTTTGACTCGCCACCTGTGGACCGAGACAAGAGTTAAGTACTGCCAAGGAAAAACATTGTATTGTGCCATTACTTTATTTCGACAGTGGTTCGTCAAACTACAGCTAGAAATCCTGTTAGCAAGAACTCCTGTGAGCAAGGAGAACTCAGGAGAGCCTACATGCTTTCTGCCACTCGGCAGACCGTTCAGCTGCACCCAGGTCTTAAGTAACTGGCTTAAACCAAAGAATGTGGATCATTAGGACAGTAGCAGTGTTTGACACTGCGCTAGTTTTGCCATTTCATTTCATTTGTCTGTTTTAATGGATTTTGTATTTTTTTTATAAAAAAAAAGGACATCACTTTGGTATTTTCCTACTAATGAAAGGTAGTATATGATGATGATGATGATGATGATTACAAAAAACAATATTCAAGAATATATTTAACTCATTTTAAAAGGATCAGCTTTTGAAGGAATATATTTGTGACTGGCAGATGCACTTGGCAGATGGAATTAGAAGGTGATCACTAGGTGCCGACAGAAGCAGGAGTGATAGTAATATGTATGGAATCCACCTGTAGGAAACAAGCAAGTTTAACATTTCCAAACAAATTCAAAAGACCTTTTTGTAGTGCAATCCATTTTGGAAGCATTCTATGAAAAGAGATGGACTGGGGCTGCAACTCTTCACACAGTGAGAGAGTAAGTCTCCTTCAACTCAATAGGGCTTGCTTTTGGGAAGCTGTACGTAGGTTTATATCTTATAGGTCATTTCTATTTGGCCAAATACACTCCTTGGAAATACTGGTACCTTTCTGCATGTTCAGCTGCTTCAGTTCTGACTCCTCAACCTTTGAACTGGATTTATGAGCCAAAGCAGGAGTTTTCTGGTAAACTTTCCACAGCAGCATATATTCTGCACACATGGAAATCAAGTTCCACCCAGAAATGAATCCGCAGCCGATCACAGGTGATCCAAAGGTCATTATCTGCCCAACAGCCATTGGGGCCAAGATATTGGTCAGCTGGTCAATTCTTCGTATTGTAGCATTCATATCTGTAAGGGAACATTGGAAAACGCAAAATTGGCACTTGATATAGAAGCTGGGAACCCCAAATTCAATACTATTTACTTGCACACAAAGATCTCCTAAAGATTTCAATAAAATTTACTGCAAACAAGTAAGCCTTGATTCAGAGGCCAACACTCAGACCTTCTATATTATATACTATCCTTTTGTTTTCCTCCTCATACTGCCCCAGAAACTTCTTAAATAATCATACATACACAGATCATTGTTATTTTTTTAAGTACAAACAGGCCAGAAGCTCCTCAAAGATTTGGCAGCACAACTGAATTACAGCAAAAAGTATGTAGCTTCTCACATTTCCTCTCTCTTCAAATGTACCTGTAGCCCTGTACAGTAAAGATAGCAGCCGCAGTCTTTTGGCTCCACCACCTCATCTCCAATAGTCTTAACATACAATTTCTGTTGGATTACTGTGCAGAGATTCTCCTGCAGGTGATCTCAGTGATCAAGCGGGGATATAAGGGTTCAGGCGATTCCTGAGATATCCTGGACCTAAGTTGTTCAGGGCTCTGTAAATTCATACAACAACCTTCAACCTGGACAACAACACATAACACCAGTGAAAACGGCTAAACTGGCTACCCATCTACTACCAAGCCGGGTTCAAGCTCCTTGTATTAATTTACAAAGCCCTGAACAGCTTAAGTCCAGGCAACCTAAGGGCCCTGCCTGAACCTTTACATCCCAGTTTGATCTCTGAGATCATCTATAGGAGGTGTTGTTGCTTGTCCCCTGAGTTGGTGAGGCTCACTGGATATGGACAAGAAACAGTGTCACCAGCCCAGCCCTGTGGAATGTTCTTCCAAAATATGCAGCAGGTGTCTTCTATTTTGACCTTCAGACGACTGCTGAAAAGTTTTCTTTGTTCCCAGGCTTCTGCAGACAATTAAGACGAACACTTTCTGCAACAGTTGTCTGATTATCTTTGTGAATTTGTTTGCATGGTTTTTGTTGTGTATATGTAATTGTTGCAAACCACTTTAGTGTGTTTTTTTAAAAAAATGAAGTTGTGGTATACAGGTTTTTTTTTTTAATCTTTAAAGGCACTTCAAGTCCAAACATGTACAAGCAACTAAAATCAACAGAATGTGGTCTAGACTGTTGAAACATCCTGGAGCTTACTGACTCCATCTGCGCAGGCTTACGACTGGGGTTTAAGGCTTGCCATATGGCAACACAGTTCACCCCTCTTACAACAGAGGATATTGGCAAGAACTCATCGCACCTGGTGAAATTAGATCGATGCTTACCCTTGTACTACTGCAAGAAATATTTTCGTAGTAAAAATGTGACAAAGCATTGATTCTAAACACAGCTGTGTAAAAAGTTCTGTGTTTGTTCAACCTTGGCAGTGTAATAGCTGAACTATAACAAGGGCCACAGAGCATAATGTCTACATGACCAACTGATAATCCACTTATTATAATTAGCTACTCTCCTGCTCTCTCTGAACAAGAAAGAGGAGGGAAGAGAAACAAATATAATCTGCCCTTTATAACCTGATGTTGACTCACGACTCCTGTAACACAGAAAAATGTGCTGATTTCAGCTAGTTTAAAGCCAAGTATACAGAGTAAAATAGTTTTTAAGATAACCAAAACCCAATATACATCACCTGCTAATTTGCTCCTGTTTTCACCCGCAACAACGACGACCCAGTCTCTCTGTATGGTAATTGATGTGGCAGTGCTGGCTAGATTTGCAATGTTTGCTATTGTGATGACTAGGATATAGCAAAGGGTCTGCAGGAATGGAAAGAGACGTTCAAGCATAAGGAAAACAAATCAACCACTCTCCCTCAAACTGCTAAATTACAATTTACTTCTTGTTTACTTCTTGCCCACAATCATTGTCTGCTAGCAGATGCATCTTCCACTGTCTCAAAAACCATCCTTTGTCTTCTCTTCCCTCTGTGTGGACATAAAACTAGAGCGACCCAAAACCATTAAGGTATAGCAGGTATCCCCATTTGGCCAGCCAGGCCATTATGGCCAAGCCACACCCACCTGCCCAACAGGTAAAGTCATGGCTGGACCAGAAAGGGATTTGCAGGTACTGCTGATCAGCTGATTGATGATGCCTTCCAGAGGTGCTTTGAAGTCCTGACCATCAACGGATTGTTGGGGCTTCAAAGCGCAGTGCTCTCTACAGATGATTTAAAAGATCCCAGCACAGCCCAAGCTGCCCTAGTGCCTACAGATTTATTTATTTTTAAACCAGTGTTTCCCCCCACTCTCTCTCCTTAAAGAAGGCTTGAATACATTATGACATCAGGTGATAGACAGGCATGTTGTTCACCTGCCCAAGTTGGCCTATAGCAGGCTGAGAGAGATAAGGAACTGGCCAGTTCCTCACCCCTAGTATAAAGAAAAGAGTGTCCTTGAAAGCTGGACCATTGTTCAGTTCAGATAATCCATCAAGCCATGATGTGTGAGATCATGAATGTGGCTTAACCCTTGAGTTTCTTGTTCTGGCTTGGCAGACAAGGACTAATCATAGTTTGCTGGTTGAAAAGCCTTCCTCTTCTGAAAAAGGAACTCTGAGAACGCCTGACCAGATTTTGAGAGCCCCCCCCCCCTCCAAATGACGCCACTGGTAACCACACAGAGTACAGAAGTTCATGTTTAACAGTGCAAACCTATACATTACAGCTAGGGAACCTGAGTCCCTCCATATCTTGTTGGACTCCCAACTCCCAACAGACCCAATCATAACGGCCTGTTGTGAGGGTTGATAGGAGTTGTAATCTACCAATACCTGAAGGGACAGAACTTCCCCACTCCTGCTGTGCGCATCCACTCAAGAGAAAATGTCACTGTTTACTCAAAGGTAAGCATGTATAAAGGTAAAGGGACCCCTGACCGTTAAGTCCAGTCGCGGACAACTCTGGGGTTGCGGCGCTCATTCTCGCTTTACTGGCCGACAGAGCCGGCGTTTGTCCACAGAGTTTTTCCGGGTCATGTGGCCAGCAGGACTAAGCCTCTTCTGGCGAACCAGAACAGCACACGGAAACGCCGTTTACCTTCCCGCCGGAGCAATACCTATTTATCTACTTGCTTTCGAACTGCTAGATTAGCAGGAACAGGGACTGAGCAACGGGAGCTCACCCCGTTGTAGGGATTTGAACTGCTGACCAGCAAGCCCTAGGCTCTGTAGTTTAGACCACAGCGCCACCCACGTCCCTTAATCATGTATAAGATTGCTTTACTATTGATCTAGGATGGGACCAACCTTATTGGCCTAGCAAGAGGAAATCCATTTAAGCACTGACAACAGACTATATTCGATTTAATCCATTAAGTATTGTGACATCAAAAAGCTTCAGTCTGACTGAAAAGGCAACAGTGCTATCATAATCAAATGTTTATCAATGTTTTTTTGGATAAAAATGATGAGGTTTGTGCACTTACCAGAAGCCACCCATGATATAGAGCCAAAAGCTGAGTCTTAAACAGGAAGACCATCATCAGAAGGATGCCACACAAGATGACCGATGCATTCTGCACAATTAAGGATGTCTGGGCCACTGTTTAGGATAAAGGGAGAGGAGGGGAAATTGCAATTTAGGTCATGCCAAAAATAACAATAGGAAATATGCAACCATTGGAAGACCTTGCATCTTTTCACGCAACTTTCTCTTCAATATTTAAAGCAAAACATGTTTCGTGTTTACAGACTGGCTTCTGTTATTTCTCCCAGCACTTTGAGGGACAAAAAAGGGGGGAGTGGATGCATAAGACCAACACTTGGTTGAGATTGCTCCCTAGGATATAACACCCGCAAGTCTAAAGAAATTAAAATATGACTCTAAATGAAGAAGACATTTGGTAAGAATTATGTTGAAGCTGTCTGGCTTGCTCCACCAGCAAGAGTAACTACGCCTTCGCTGAGTAACCCCCTTGGGCTTAGTGTTCAAACATGGAGTAATTGTTCACCCATTGGGCCCTGCCTTCAAAACATAGGCATAATTTTTTAAAATGCTAACGCCTCAGCCAAGGAGGAAACACCTAGCGTGAGTAGCTGAAATGTACTACTAATGGCAGTAATTATTTAAAATTAGCTTTAAGCAGGTCACATAATTATACTGTCTGCAAAATGCTTAGTCCAAGAGACAAGGCATATGAATTTTGCAGAGAATATGTGACCATTACAGCCCTGCCACACAGGTTTTATAAAGAGGATAGGCCTTGTTGTACACAGTGGTACTTGCTTCTGAGTAAACCTGGATAGAACTCTGCGAGCTTGCACAGTTATTCTTTACCAGCTCCGAATGAGATACTAATCAAACTTTCAATGCCTCTAGCATTTTATTCAAATATTCTACACCTTGATAAGGCTCATCATTTTCAGACTGGCATAAAATTAACTAAGCCATACTCAGAGTAGGCCTACTGAAATCAACGGGCATACATTAGTCGTGTCTATTGCTTTTAGCAGCTGTACACTGAAGCTGAGATACAACCCAGTGCCACATGGGTGAGGGGAATGCTTGAAAACTTGCAATCATCATCATCATCATCTATTTAGAAAGTAAATGGCGTAAGCCATTTTAACACCTTCCATCTTGTTTTCTGTGATTTGGGTTCCACTTAACACATGTCAACATTCTTCATCAAAACCACTAAAACATGACTAACCTTTGAGCCTTGGGTTCTTGTCTACCCAGTCTCCAATAATGGCTCCCAGAAGAAGAACTGAACCTGCCACAACCAGCCCATAAACAGCAGTCAAGAGCAGACTGTTTCCGTACAGTTCAACCAGGAAGACCGACACTGCAAAGTGCCACATACGATCTCCCTAGAGGGGAAAAAAAGAGAGATTTAGTTTAATACTAAATCATGTGCTGCACATAACAATTTAGGGCAGAGCTTTCCAAACCTTTCATGTTGGCGACACACTTTTTAGACATGCATCATTTCGCGACACACTAATTCAGTTTTACTAGCAAACCGGTGGGCTACCTGCTCCCTTTGCAGCCCTGGGAGGAGCACAGGGAGCATTCACGGGACACACCTACACACTGCAGCCGACACACTAATGTGTTGTGACACACATTTTGGAAAGCTCTGCTTTAGGGTGTCTATAAAGTATCCAAGAGTGTCTTCCCCATATTTTTGGATAAGACGCTCCCCGTGAATCTCCTTCCTTGAGGGGCCCCACCTTCTTGCCCTTGTCACCATTGCCCTTTCCCTGGCAAGGGACTAAAAAGACAAAACTAAACACAAAATGAATAAACGAAGGCACCAGACAACTACCCTCCTTTATTATCTCCCACGCTGAAGTTCCTTGCATCCTTCTCATTGGTTACCTGAACTGTTCAGCCCCTGTAATAACCCAACATCCTCCTCCTTCACAGCACTTTAACTCCAACGTTGGTTTCTTGGAAGTTGGAGCCCTTGAAACTGTTCCAACTCTGCTTGAAGTTGACTAGATTTCAACTTCTATATATGTAGAACCCAATAAATCCTGCAAGCGCTGCAATGGAAACTTCCCCATTATCCTAGCAACTGCGATAGCAGATGAACTTTGATGAAATGCCTGTAACTGTTTTACTGTTACTCAAATAAATATACAGAACAGGAGCTTGGGTGGCATAATAAATCTGCTGTTGAAAAAACCAGAAACCCAGTAGTTTCCTCATCTGTCACAAAGCAATAGCTGTGTACCAGACAGGTTACTCCTACAGTAATCCTTAATTTGCACTGGACAGGTTACATTGCAGGCAATGGGACTGTTACACAGTAAGTCAATTATTGCCTGTGACCCCCATTATCTGAGTGGAAGGGTCATGTTGTCTAATGACCCTTTAAAGGCCATCTGTCAGACAAGCTAGCTAAGGGGTGTCGCTGACATTCATTTATTTTGTGATGTTCACATTCCAGCAATCTACCTTCCTCTGAAAAGTCCTAAATGTGTGTTCAGCAGATAAGTTTCTCACTTTGATAAGCAGCAGAAAGGGGGCAATTGCCGATAACAAACATGGAACGCACAAGTGCGGCCAGCATTGAAATGTTGCAATGAATGTGTGCTTCTCTTCAGTGTTCTAGCCAAGCTAGCCTCCACAATTCTCCATTCTATTGGTCCTACCAACCAGTTTGGCCCCCTCCAATATTCAGCCCACACTCTGTAGCCTCTAAGCGTGCTCAGTCTTCACTGGGTTGTTTTGTGGTCCCTTTATCTAAGTCCCCACCACCTCCGCTGGAAATATTCTTTGGTATTTCTGAAAACCTTGAGACTCCCCTGAACATGCTGGTGCCTCCTCTCTTGTGTGTGGGTTGCGCCTTTTTGGCTACAAAAGCAACAACACTCACTTCTGAAAACACTGGGAACGGTTGTTTAATGCCTGAAAATAGCCAAGGGAGCAAGAAAAACAACAATCTGGTAACAACTAAATCAAAGGACCTATGGGAGACTTTAGCTAAGCACATAAGGGTAATGCCACACACTGCATTTTTGGGTGTGCATGTAAAGCTGTTCTTAAGTTGTAAATGTAATAAAGCAATGCGTATGAGTAAATACACTCACTGAGGAGCCACGTTTGACGTAAGTGCCCTTACGGATCATCCTGGGATTGAAAATATGAAATTACCTTAACTTGATATAGTTACTAGAAGCAGAATTTTCGTCTCTAAAAATGTAAGTTGTTTTGGCTGTTCCATAAAGGTCCTAGCTGAAGCCACAGGTGTAACCTGAGATTAAATGCTTAGTTATTGCTTGTGACAGCTGTCAGACTGAGCACAACATTCTCTTGGAGACAAAGGAGGAGTTCCTTGCCACAAAACTAACAACCAAAAGCAAGCATGGATACAGTTGCCTGCAATATTTAAGCATCCTTTAATTCAAATATTTAAAGTCTTGGTTCCACAAAGTGTGTGTCTGTGTGTGTGTATTGCTTCTGCAAAGTTGGCTACTTAAGAAAGTGTTTCTTTGCCTGTTTATTTTCTTATTAAGAGAGAAAAGCAGTGAGTCAGACACTAAGGCTGTCATGGGTGGCACAAACCAATTGTTAGCAAATTAAACTGGGGAAGTTAATTAGCTTCTTATGCCTTCATACGAACCCCGTGCCTCAGAAGCAATTCCCAGTAAAAACAAATGAAACTAGAAGGATTCCACCCTCTGCATACCCACAAACAGGATAATCTGTTGTGCTTCAGAACTTGCCTTTGTTAGACAGAGGCATCGGGGTGCTATGTAGCAAAACTGGGGCATGGTTAGGTTAAACACCTACTGAACTGAAATGTTTTGTTTTGCTGATTTGCACCTAAGACACCTCTGGTTATAACCACAGACATTAGTAATAGTAATAATAATAATAATTTATTTATACCCCGCCCATCTGGCTGGGTTTCCCCAGCCACTCTGGGCGGCTTCCAACAGAGCGCTAAAATACAATAACCTATTAAACATTAAAAGCTTCCCTAAACAGGGCTGCCTTCAGATGTCTTCTAAACATTTGGTAGTTATTTTTCTCTTTGACATCTGGTGGGATGGCGTTCCACAGGGCGGGTGCCACTACCAAGAAGGCCCTCTGCCTGGTTCCCTGTAACTTGGCTTCTCGTAGCGAGGGAACCACCAGAAGGCCCTCAGAGCTGGACCTCAGTGACCGGGCAGAACGATGGAGGTAGAGACGCTCCTTCAGGTATACTGGACTGAGGCCGTTTAGGGCTCAAAAGAGCATACCTGCTGCCTCCACAACAGTCAAGATGTTCTTTCTGTACTACAGCACCACTCCACACATGCCTGAATTGCCACTATCTTTCAATGACCGATTTTTATCCTAAAAAAGGGGGGGAAGGGGGAGGCCTTTTTCCCTGGAAAAACCAACTGGCTTATGTGTGCTCAACTCTGAACTGAACTATGGAACCTATCTCTCTATCGCATCTTGAACAAAACATTTCAACCTCTCCCACCCGCAAATTCATGGTCGGTTAAAGACACAGAGGGGTTTTCATTAGATAGAGACCCTTTTAAAGTAGGGGTGAGGAACAGGAGGCTCTCCAGCTCCCATCAGTCCCAGCCAACACAGCCAACAGCCAGGGTTGAGCGGAGGTCCAACGTATTTTAAGGACCAATCTACCTAAATTATAAGCCACAATTCTAGACACAGATGTGGGCAGGCAGAGCAGAAGGGTGTGCATGGCCAGAGGTGTAAAGAGCTGCTTATTACAGCAGGTCACCCAGCTGAACAAGCAAGCCTGTTTTAAATAGAAAAAGCAGGTTCCAAGGTGAACCGCTACAGTGGAGCCATTCAAACAACCTTTGTGCTTTATGCATGTGCTTTGCCCATGATATGACTGCCAAGAATTACAATTTCAACCTGACACATTAAAAAAAAGCACATTTAGTGCTCCTCCTGAAATCCATGGGAGTTGCAAAACTTAACTCTAGCTAGTTTAGGAAAATTCTTTATTGCACTGAATAGTGAGATACTCACTTCCAACCAGGAATGGCCCAATAGATTTTTCTGCTTCAAAGGACAAGATGGAGCCCCATTCCACATAAAAAGTTCAACCTTACTTCAGCACTGGTTAGTGGACAGTGTCTTCCATTGCACCCAAGGGCAGCAGCCTGGGTTTAGGGTTTGGGGCCGACCGAGTGGTACCCACAGCTCTGTTCCTCAGTACCTGCCCAGTTCCCAGCATTTGCTGCCTTGCTCTGACTAATGGCAAAGCTGTCCCTGAGCAAACTATGGCCAAACTAAAGAGAGGCTTTGCTGAAACCCCAGTCCTAATCATGTGTGTCTTTTCACCTTCTTGCAATATCAACCTTAGTGGTTTTGCTGTGTCAGTTTAATGCCATGTTTTGTGGCACTGTGCTGAGACAGATGTACTATATGCTGCCACAAAGATCATAAGCTCCGTGTTCCTGCATGACAGTCACTGGGGAACAGCATATAAAAATTAATTTAACTTGCCTTCTACAGAGAAAGAAAAAAGTTTGCCTTTTATTTGAATCAGGACAGAAGCTTCTCAGTGCACGTATGGGTTGTATTATTATTATTATTATTATTATTATTATTGCTCCTTGGAAATGCTGTGTCTTAACCATCCCCTTTTGCTAACAAACATTCTTCCTCATAAATCACTGATAATTTTATCAATTTTTTAAGCACATTTGCCCCAATTCTACACACTAGAGTTGCCTATGCAAACAAAATAAATATCTCTTGGTACGGGAAAGGAGAAAAATTCCAGCAACAACGATTATTATTATCATTATCATTATCTATACCCCGCCCATCCAGCTGTGCTTCCCCAGCCACTCTGGGCGACTTCCAACACATATAAAAACAGAATAAAAATTCAAACATTTAAAAAAAAAAACTTTAGCCAACCAGGCCTTTGGATACTGCTGAAAATAAGTCAGAATATTGATATCAAAGCTCTTTAACAAAGCTGAGATCTACATTATTCTTCATTGAAAAGCATAGGCTCTGGTCCTAACAGAGCTGAAACCTGTGATGGGGCTTGCTAACGAATTCAGGACCAATGTGTCAGAGCGTATTTTATTAAATGTAGTGTTGCACATTTTCCCTGAATTGTGGCATGATATCACACAGCACAATCCCCTCTTGTTGATATATGCAACAGTTGTCCACAAGTCATCCTGCTATACAGACCAGCCAAATGTATATTATCTACGGTTATACATTACTTACCCAAGTGGACAGGGAATGGCCAAGGTACAGTAGGAATTTTGCAGAGGTGAAATAACTGGCACAGGATCCTAAGATGGAAACAGAAGAGTTGTCATTTAAGTGTGTCCTGCAAATTTACTTTTCTTGTGCAGCTAGACCAGGGGTCAGCAAACTTTTTCAGCAGGGGGCCAGTCCCCTGTCCCTCAAACCTTGCGGGGGGGCCAGACTATAATTTGGAGAGAGAAAATGAACAAATTCCTTTGCCCCACAAAATCCTATGCATTTTAAATAAAAGCACATGTTCTACTCATGTAAAAACACCAGGCAGGCCCAACAAATAACCCAGAGATGCATTTTAAATAAAAGGACACATTCTACTCATGTAAAAACACACTGATTCCTGGACGGTTCACGGGCCGGATTTAGAAGGCGATTGGGCAGGATCCAGCCCCGGGGCCTTAGTTTCCCTACCCATGAGCCAGACAGTGGCCAAGCTTCTACCATCATCTCTGCCGTTGTTTAGTATCGTTATTTAGCTTAATAAATTTGAGTAAAGCACCAAGACAGCTTGACAACTACCTATAGGTTTCAGTCTTTGCTTAAAGAAATATCCACCTCTGTTAACACCAAGTTTTATTAACTGTCACGAGGCACTTAGTTTTTCCATCTATCTAGTCTGCCACATTTTTTCCATCTATCTTGAGACCTGCTGCCTTAGTCCCAATTTAACGTCCATGCATCGTCCGCCAGAATTATTTCATGCGCTACTCGGAAGCGCTGCTATGAAATTCCAATGGCAAAAAGTTATGAACTAAATTCCAGCAGTGGTCCTACCTCTTTTCGACATACAAGCCATCACAACTAACGCCACACATGCACTTTTCTAGGTTACAGGGATATGACCCTTTCAGCCAAGCTAACGAAAGCAGAAGTATGCAGATGTTTCTCTCTTCAGTGCGAAAAACACCACGAAGTTTCTCCTCTTCTTCAGCAACCTCATTTTATACCTCATGGTTGCAATCCAGCATTACCTGTGTGCCCTCTTCCCATGTAAGGGAATATAGCCCCACAAAGCATAACACTTCTTCTCCCAGACATAGCCAGGATTCCAACGCATCTTGGATTTCTTCTGCTAAAGAATTCCTTCTCCTAAATAGGAGCTGGCTGCCAAAACATAGGAAGCTGCCTTAGACCACGGATCCATCTAGTTCGGCACCATCTTTCCTGACGGGCAGCGATTCTCCAGGTCTTCAGACATAGGACACCCGCTGCCGTAACTGGACTAAAGTTGGGGTCTTCTGCATGCAAGGCAGCCCCCCTCTACCAATGGGCTACGGGGGCCCTTCGTCAAACTGCTGAACTGTCCAGCAAAAGCAAGGTACATTCATACCTTAGTTCTCGAGCAGAATGCGTTTCAAGAGTCCGTTCAATTCCTGAAACCATTCGCGGCTTCCAATTGGCTGCATCCTGCAGCCAACTGGAAGCCGCGGCAGACGTTCGGCTTCTGGAAATGGTTCAAAAACCAGAACACTCACTTCCGGTTTTCGATCGTTTGGGAGCCAAAACGTGTGAGTTCTAAGACGTTTGACCACCAAGGTATGACTGTACTTTGCAAGAGCGCTTACAGCGCACCCATCAGCGCAGCGACTTTTGTTGCGGGCTGGGTGCATGTGCACCCACTACCAAACTCGGCACCCAGTGCCGGATTAAATCCTATGGAGGCCCCTGGGCAGTCGAAATATCACCAATTACCTCCTAGCAAGTTTTATGAACTCGCAACACACCCACTCACAGAAAGCTTCGTTTCTGGAGCGGGTAACACCGAACTAAGAAAACTCGGTTGCCATTTTCCCTTCAAGATCAAATCAGTATTCTTTCAATCCCTTGTCGCAGAGCCCCCTCAAAGGTCCATAGGGGCCGGTGGCTCCTCTCTACCTGTGTGGTAACGAGACACTGCGGGCAAGCGCCTGGCGCTGTGCGCGCAGAAGAGAATCCAGCGCAGCGCGCGCGCGCCCTTGCGCAAACTCCCTCCTTCCCCCGTGCGCGCAAGACCTCTCCATGACCCGCTTCCCCGCGTCAACAAGGCAGCCTGAGCGAGCCAGCCTCGCCACCTGCGCCCGTGCGCTCAGCCCGCGTCCCTCTCCGCGCCCTGCGACTCACCACAGCATCCTTGCTTGCTTTGCTGTTCTGCCATGGCTTATATATATCAGCTTGGCACCGCTGAGTTGTTGTTGTTTTTAAAAATCTCTCCCCGGGGGAAGGGGGGGTCCTTTCCTCTCGGCGGCTTGTTGCTCTCGTGAGAGAGCGCGACAGAGGCGGGCCGGCAGACACGCGCGCACGCACACACACGCGACGAGCGCAGCGGCTAGCTCGGGGGTACCCAGGAGAGGAGAGCGGGGCAGAGCGCAGCGCCAAGAAGCAGCAGCGGACGAAACGGCCTAACCCCCGTGTTGCTCTTTCCAAACTTAGCTATCACTGTAGCTGAAGTTGGAAAGAAATGGCCTTATGGGCAGGTGGCCGCGACGCGACCGCTCCGCTGGGAATGGGGACCCCGCAAGGCGCCCACCAACTTCCTCAGGCTGCGGCTCCTCCTGCCCGAGCTGACCCCTTGGGCTCTGTCCTGGCGCTGGGGCGAGCCGACCCTTTATATAGAAGCGAGGGGCCGCGCGAAGGTGGAGGAGTTCCCCGGAGTCGCCTATCAGCGGCCGGCAGATCTGCATATCCCCTCCCGCCCGTCCTGACTGTGCGAGCTGCGCCTTCTGCAAGGGAAGAAGGGATGGCTGGGAAGGAGAGAAAGAGAGAGAGAGAGGAGAGAGAGGGCTGGTGCTTCTTTTGGGGAAGCCGGGACTGAGAGGAGGGGGGGCCTTTTATAAGGCTAGGAAGGCTGGCCGGAATCTCCACCCTAGAAGAGGTACATTATCTACTCCCCGCAGGGCTCTGCAAATGACACCCTGCAACGCATAGCATCCTCCTGAGTCTCCTCCAGCGCTGCGCCTCAAAACAAAACTCAAGGACCACATTAGGAACGGCTTTATAAGGGGGAGGCGTGATCCGGGGACCCTCTAAAGCCACGGTTCCCGACGTGGGGCAATTTGATTTTTAAGGGGGGGGCAATTCGAGAATGAGTTATCAACAATGAGTTTTTTGTTTTATTTTTTGCATTTCTTCCTCCACGTGAATAGGACTTCACTTTTTGAATAATAAGAATTATATATCATGGAGGGGGGACACACCAGGATTTTAGAGATGCTTAGGTGGGGCATGGCCAAAAAAAAAAAAGGTTACTACTGCTCTAAAGCAAACGGCCACCACTGAAAAGATGGCACCTTCGTTCTTTCTCGCTCAAAAGCCCCATCATTCCTGCTGGTTTCCCATAATTTTTAAAAATATAATTTTTATTTGATTTTATAAATATAAAATTATAACAGTACAGCCATGCACATCCACATTTAAAGATTCTTCCGAATCTCTAGACTTCCCACCTTCCCCCTCCATGGGTCCTTTTTATTAACCTTTTCTACTGCATCTTTTTCAGTGATCCACATTTTATATCACTCCATTATCTCCGTAGTACTTGCTACATTACAAGTGTTATTGCAGTCCTGCTAATGTTTTCATCTGCTTACAGTGGTCTCCAAGATAAATTATAATTTCCCCCCATTCTTTGTTTTATTTTAATTAAATATTTTCTTGGTTTACAAAAGTATGAGCAATGTCTCTCTCTCTCTTTTTCCCCCAAGTTACATTTTTACAGATCAGTTTCCCCCCATTCTTTGTTAAAGTTTTGGTCTTCTTGGTTCCTGAGCTTTCCGGTCAGTTTCACCATTTCGGCATAGTCCAACAGTTTCATTTGCCATTCTTCTCTGGTAGGGACAGGTTTCCCATAATTTTACTCAATTCCCCCTCTGGGTTTCATTCATGCCCTTCTTTCCTGGTCTGGAAACTTCAGCGTTCAGCTCTCCCTTCTGAAAGGCTGCCATCTCTCCTTTGCCATGTGCCATTTCATAGATTTTTCCAATGCCACCAAGGACACCAATATCACCATTCCGCTTCTAATAGTGGTTGAGTGCCAATACATTTGGAAGCAAAAGACGGTCCTTTCCGCACACTAAAACTGAGTGCTTTCTACAAGCTCAAGAGACATCCTTGTTAAAGATTGGATTTGAGGATGGAAGACTATGTTTGTTTACAGAAAGTGGCTTTGTTGGGTGTTATATGGGAGCGGATGAAGTGAATATTGTGTGTGTGTGTGTGTGTGTGTGTGTGTATCATGGACAGACGAAGAACTGGAAGTCCCTTCTGAGTTTTATTTATTTCTCTCTTAACATCATCAACAACAACAAATTTTTATTACGGTCGTAGACCATCATAAGGAAGGAGGGGTACAATCATTTAACATCTAAAAAACGTTTTAAAAAACTAAAAGGAGTTGAAACAGAAAGTATATATAAAAATCTAAAAGAAGCTCTCTTCACATCTTTTCTACTTCTTTTTCTTTGTTTCCCTCTCTTTCTTTATTCCCCTTTTCTTTTTATTGTATTCAAATCGAAGTCTTAGCTGAGACAAAAAGAGAGAGGAAAAGATACTTGATACTAACTTTGTATTTTTCCTCTATAAGCACTAATAAAATCTATTTCAAAAGTGAGAGACATCGTAGGTACGAAGAGGGATATCACTTTGTAAATTTAAAAGATTTAAAAACAAAAACCACATGTCCCTACAAGCACCTGTGGGACCCCAAGACTTATGAATACCGATGGCATTTGAGCCTATAAAAAGAAAGTGTTTCTAAAGCTTGAGTAGGGGACCTGTGGCCTGCAAGCTGGTTGTTGGACTCCAACTCCCATCGTCCCTGACCATTCGACACGCTGGCTGAGGATGGTAGGATCTGGAGTCCAACACCATCTGAGGGCCATATCTGGTTCTCCACCCCTGGTTTAAAGCAATCAGAAGTTGAGCAGACTCTGCATGTCTGTCAGTTCAGTCAGCGGCTGAGAGCTGTCAAGTCATGGAATATTAGGGGCAAGTGGGGCAGGGGTAGGAGAGGAAAATGGGACAGAAGAAACTGGTCTGCTGAAGTAATAATAATAATAATAATAATTTATTATTTATACCCCGCCCATCTGGCTAGGCTTCCCCGGCCACTCTGGGCGGCTTCCAAAAGAATATTAAAATACTATAATACATCAAACATTAAAAGCTTCCCGAAACAGGGCTGCCTTCAGATGTCTTCTAAAAGCCTGATAGTTGTTGTTCTCTTTGACATCTGGTGGGAGGGTGTTCCACAGGGAAGGCGCCACTACCGAGAAGGCCCTCTGCCTGGTTCCCTGTAACTTGGCTTCTCGCAGTGAGGGAACCGCCAGAAGGCCCTCAGTGCTGGACCTCAGTGTCCGGGTAGAACAATGGGGGTGGAGACGCTCCTTCAGATAGTCCATATCAGAAGTCCATAATTAAGGCCTCTTTGCTTATATTGAGCATCCTGGAGCTGGAGGTGGGCAGTTAATGGAGTTTATGGAAGCATGCTGAGAACAAACTTCAGCAATAACAGGATGTTTCAGGGGGAACGAAAGGGAAAGATCCAACTTTCCCATTTTCCAAAATACTCAGGTTCAAGGCTGGCAGCCCTTTGAGCTGGAGTCAGCAAACTTTTTCAGCAGGGGGCCAGTCCACTGTCCCTCAGACCTTGTGGGGGGGTCAGACTATATTTTGGGGGGGGGGGAATGAACGAATTCCTACGCTCCACAAGGCAAGCCCCACAAATAACCCAGAGGTGCATTTTAAATAAAAGCACACATTCTACTCATGTAAAAACATGCTGATTCCCGGACTGTCTGCGGGCCGGATTTAGAAAGCGATTGGGCCAGATCCGGCCCCCGGACCTTAGTTTGCCTACCCATGCTTTAGAGCTATAAAGAAAACATGTCCTTCTTCTCGCCGTCCAAAAATTCCTATCTGTTCCGTGAGGCCTAACCAGGACTATCAGCTTCCTATTCCAGACTGGCTGGAATCCCAAACAGAATCACATAATTGTAGAGCTGGAAGGGTCCCAAGGGTCATCTAGTCCAACCCCCTGCAATGCAGGCATCTTCTGCACAACATGAGGATTGAACCCACAACCCTGAGATTAAGAGTCTCCTGCTCCACTGAATGAGCTATTCCTGTATTTGCCGGGCCCAGAGATCCTGAGCCCCATGACTTTTGTGCCAGATTCCAGATCTCTGGCCTTTTCCCTTCCCTTTTCAAAATAAAACAAAATACGTAATATTTTTTTTGCTGATGGGGTTCCTGGTTGTACTGCACAGCAAAGTGCAGGTAAGATTCTAGCCAACCACCATCTGTTTTTGCACAGAGACATCTATGCACATCCATATGCAATTTTTATGTGAGTCTCTGTATGGCCCTGTGCCCCTGAATACTTTAAATATCAATGTCCTCTCAGGCATTCTTTGGGATACACCACACCATTTTGTTGCAGGACCCACTTGAATACAGTAGAAACAAACTCAGGTGGTTGAATGTCCTGTTGGCTTGAAAAGCACTCAGAAATAAACTAGTGTTTTCTATATACTTGAGGGACTTCCTAAGTAACCGGACGTCCGTAAGTTTGTAAATTAAAGCAAACATTAAAAATTAAAACCAAACCAAAGCCTGATAAATGACTTGAGGCCATCCAGGATGTTGTCATCACGGCCATTACAACTTATTACCTGCCCTTCACTGTAAGTCCCAGGGCGGGTTGAAACCATTTAAAATACCATATTAAAAACAGTTTAAAACATGCAGAATGTTGATGTGCCTGTGGCAGAGGATGCTTAAGCCACTAGCAGCTTATAGGAAGCATTTTTGTTCTTCTATCATTCACATTAGCATGCACCCTGTTCAGGTCCACCCATTTCTTTAAATTCGTATCTTGTGTTTTATGTAATTTGCTCTGGTTTGTCCTTTGGGATGTGAACTCTAAGGGAACTTTCTGCTTGCTGCTATAGTGATTGGTTGCTCCTGTCCCCTGTGTGTGTGTGTGTGTGTGTGTGTGTGTGTGTGTATCCCAGTGCTAGCCATTTTGAGAATCCCTGTGATTGAGAAGCACTGGTGGATACAAACAGATAAATACTGTATTTTTCCGTGTATAACATGCCTCCATGTATAAGACGACCCCTATTTTTTTGGATGGCAACAAAAAAAATTGTGGGGGGAAATTGCCCAGAGTTGTTGAGGGTTGTTTTTTTTTGGGGGGGGGGGTCACTGCTGCCAATCTACAGCCTGCCCGACAATGCAACTTGCATGCATCACCGCAGCCAACAATCGTCTGCACGCTTGCTGCCAAAGGCCCACCTGCATGCTAGATGCAACCACAGCCGATTGCACACATGCCTCGCCGCTGCCGTAAATAACCCGCCCAATTGCTGCAGCCCCAGGTCAATCGTCAGCAGGTCTTGCCACAGCAACCAATCACATGCCCAATCACCGCTGCCAGTCTCCTGCTGGCTGCTGACACCAATCGCCCGTCCCCCCTCTGCTATCTGTGTATAAGACGACCCAAATTTTTTGCCTATTATTTCTAAGGAAAAAATATTGTCTTATTGTCAGGGAACTGACATCGGAGCCAGAGGCAGAGGCTAGGCTCTCAAGCGATGCTGGAGAAGGGCCCAGCAGGGGGAGAGGCAGCTCACCAGCTGGGGAAGGAAATCAGCGTAACACCAGGGATAAAGGGGGGCAGATGGGGGAATCGGCGAGGGGGCTCCAGGACTCCTCGCCGGAGACCAGCGAGGAGAGCACGGGTCCTCCGCTACCCACACCCTCCCTGCGCAGAAGACTTCCACGCAGGGAGAGTAGGAGGAGACTTGGGGTCAAACAGCTTTTATGCTGGAAAAGGTTTAAGAAACGCCCACCGACGGACTCTGCTAGCGACTGAACAGCCACGAAGTGAAGGGCTGTCCAGACAGAAAAGGTTTAACAAGGCAACCTAGCCAGGAGTGGCAGCAACTTACGCACAAGCAACCCCTGCATTTATTACAGCAGTCCGTCAGTCTCTGACGTTGCTTGTGCGCAGCGACAGGCAGGCAGCAGAATGAGCCAAACCGGAGAAGCCGGCGCCACGGAGGGAGCAGCTGGAGTGCAAAATCTGGTGGAGAGGAACCGAGATTTGGAACAGCATGTGGCTCTTCTCACGGCGCGGTTGGAAGAAAGGCGGGCTCACGATGCACAGGTCAGACCCACCCCGTAGCAAGGAAGGTACCGGGACTGGTACACAAGTTTGGGGGGAAGCCCCAGGACTACAACGCGTTCCGAACGGAAATAGAATACGCTTTGGAACTGCAGCATAAGGATTTTGCGGACGATGGGGAGAGGGTGGCCTGCATTGTTGGGTATCTGCAGGATGGGGCCAGGGAATGGATCAGGCCCCTAATGGCAACGCAAAATGCCGCCTTGAAAGACCTGAGGAAATTCTTCCAGGCGATGGATGCGATGTATTCCAGTGATGTGCAGCAAAGTGTGACTCGGCAGGAACTGATGGGTTGTAAACAGGGGAACCAGTCAGTTAGAGACTACTGGTCGCGCTTTGCCATGTTAGTCCACCGGCTCGGGTGGGAATTGGACTCGGAACCCATTCAGATGTTGTTTGAGGAGGGGTTGTCCCCAACGGTGAAGGACGAGCTTTCCTGCGCGCCCCGCCCGCAGTCGATGGATCAGCTGACCAAGGCTGTGCTTGCGATTGGCGTAAGACAGGAAGCGCAGGCTCAGGAGAAGCGCGAAGGGAGAGGGGAACGTTGCCATGACTACCGCATTCCTGAAATACCGAGGCAGCCTTCCCCGCCGGCGGAGCCAATGGAAATAGATGGCGCGCGCGCGGGGGAGGTTTCAAACTCCAGTGAAGGTCGCAAAAGGGAGGGAAAGGATTGGAAAACCAATAAGAAGTGTTTCCTCTGCCAGCGGCCAGGACATTTTGCCAGGGTCTGCCCTCAAAGAAAGGCCTGGCAAGGGATGGTGGGAGCTGCTGGAGGTGAGGAGGAGGGGGGAAAGGGGCAGGAGCAGGGAAACGCCAACGCTTGGCTGCCACTCAGCGGGCACAGCAGCCAGGCCAGCAACCAATAGAAGTGCCCCAGCCAGACCCCCCCAGGGCGGCCATAGCCATAGAAGTGGTGATAGAACTCCCGAATGGGCACCCAGTCAAGGTGAAGGGGCTGTTGGATTCAGGCAGTTCCTGCAATTTCTTCAGCAAGGACTTCACCCTAGAGCATTCAAACTCAAGTTGCCTGACAGCATGAAGATCCACCCGGTGTTCCATAGGTCCCTACTCTCACCGTACAGGGAGGGGCGGGGATTCCCGGGGCGGGAAGGCGAAGTCACCACACACCCGCAGATAGAGGAGAGGGAACACCACAACCGGGCCACGGAAATACTCGATTCAAGGTGGCGAGGGCGCCAGGTGGAGTACCTGGTAGCTTGGGAGGGAGAACCCGGGTCGGAAAACACGTGGGTTCCCGCGGAGGCAATCCATGACGGGTATCTTGTGGAGGAATTCCACAGCCTGCTACCGGACAAACCTAAACCACTAGCGAGATTCTGGGAGGAGCAATTTGGAACCACAGACAATGAAGAGGATTTTGTGGGTTTTTCTGCCTCCGAAGAGGAGGGAGGAGAGGCTTCGGAGGAAGAAGAATCAGACTGGGAGGCCCACCCCGCGGGGAGAGATCGGAGCGGGTGGGAAGCGGGTTTTGAATCCACAGAGGATGGCGACAGCTCCTTTCGGGGATTCCCTGCATCGTCGGCCGAGGAAAGGGACGAAGTTGGATCAATGGGTCGGGCCGGGGGTGGAGGGGGTCCTGGGGGGGAGGTGGATGTCAGGGAACTGACATCGGAGCCAGAGGTGGAGGCTAGGCTCTCAAGCGATGCTGGAGAAGGGCCCAGCCGGGGTAGCGGCAGCTCACCAGCTGGGGAAGGAAATCAGCGTACCACGAGGGATAAAGGGGGGCAGATGGGGGAATCGGCGAGGGGGCTCCAGGACTCCTCGCCGGAGACCAGCGAGGAGAGCACGGGTCCTCCGCTACCCACACCCTCCCTGCGCAGAAGACTTCCACGCAGGGAGAGTAGGAGGAGACTTGGGGTCAAACAGCTTTTATGCTGGAAAAGGTTTAAGAAACGCCCACCGACGGACTCTGCTAGCGACTGAACAGCCACGAAGTGAAGGGCTGTCCAGACAGAAAAGGTTTAACAAGGCAACCTAGCCAGGAGTGGCAGCAACTTACGCACAAGCAACCCCTACATTTATTACACTTATACATGGGAAAAATACAGTAAGTGCACAGTGTAAATGTTTCTCACCAAGGACATTTGGTGCCTTTTCTAGGCAGTTCAGTGGCACTTGGTGATGAGCAACTATTCTGTTGAAAGGGGTCCTGGTTTTCCCCAAATAATGGGAACACACAAAAGAGTAAATGCCCAAGAGAGAACCCTAGTTCTGCAATATGGGAAGAGACAGTACAGAAAAATGCATGTGTTTTCTGTAATCACTAACCAGTGCCTTTTTTGTGTGGGGGTACTCAAGGGAACGCAGGACTGTCGCCTCTTTGTTTTTTCGAGAAGGAGAGCACTGGTTAAAAATGTGGCACTTACTGTAACAACTTCATGGTGAGTACCGGCCCTTCTTTTTCTAAGAGAAAAGCACTGGTAACAACAGTCTTTCCCAGGCAGAAGTTCTGGCTGTTCAAGATGCAGTATAATTCCTCATTTTGAGAATGGATGAATTTCGGTCACTGACCAGTTCCAGCTCACAAACAATATCAGGGAAGTCATAAAACTCCATAGGGACACATTTGAATTTGCAATTAGGTATAACAGGGTTAGGGTTAAAATATAACCTAAAATTGTCATTTAAGGCCTTAGTCATTATGGTAGCACAGCTTGTTCCCTAAGTTTTGTGGCAGTCGCACAGAATTTGGCCACCCTTAGCGTGAACTCTGGATCCTTGTCCTCTGACCTCAGTTTGAGAGTTCATGAGAGATCATTTCTTGTGCAACACAGTTCAGTTTAATAAAATGGGAAAGAACAAGGTTAAGGCAATGCCGCCTCTGCTGTCTTTCCCCCTTCTGAAACTTAGTCCTGGTGCAATGGGTGCATGTATTATAAACAGACGCCCACAAGAAAAAGGACTTAGCGAAGCCCTTTCCCTAGA